TTGTTTCCAATTGTCTTTTTGAGGTTTTCAATTCCATGTCCATTTCAGTTTTGACTTTTCTTCAATATTTCTATCTCATTTGTGAATTCACTTTCAAATACTGATTTTTTGATATTTCATTAAGCTACATATTTGTATAGTCTTGCACTTCCATAAGTTTATGCTTATCCACTTTGAATTCTTTGAGTTGTTTTTCTGTGCTTTAAGTTCTTTGATCATATTTGATTGGTCTTTTAAATTCTGCATCCGGGGATTCCTTAAGGTGGTTCTCATTATAATGCACTTCCTTAGGACTAGTGGGTTTTGTTGGGGACATAGCCTCTTGGTTTTTCACATTATTTGTGTTTTTGCACTGCCATTTGGACATATGACTGTTCTTTATTGGTTGTGTGTCAAGTAGGAAATTCTATTCTGCCTTTGTTTATTTGAATTTTGGTTCTGTTTATATTATTTAAGTGGCTTTTATCCCCGGTATGAAAAGTAAATTAGTGTGTGTTTCAAGTTCTTGCAGAGTAGTGGACTGTTCTGGGTAGTTGGTGGGACAGGGTAGTAGGTAAGCTTGTGAGGGCACTGGGAGGACTGTTCTGTGTCTGACAGATCCAGAGCCAGTGGAATCTATGCTGGAGGGGTTAGGTAGTTAATCTCCATTAGGAAGCTAGTGCAGGGATCAGATGCAGAGGAATTGGAATGGACCTGGGTCCAAGGATAGCAGGGGACAGGGTGGGGTTTGAGTAGGTTGGAAGTGTTGAGGGTGCAGTGGAATGGAATAGAGATGTGGTGGGCAGGATCTGACTTACCAGAGTCCTAGGTAGGCTGATCTGTCAGGCAAGTCAGGAGTCAGCAGAAGATGGGGGTGGGGAACACCAGAGGGAAGACTTAGAAATCTGTGCTAGGGGGTTATCTAGTCTGCCTAAGGAAGCTAATGCAGGGATTGGATGCAGAGGAAATGGATTGGGCCTGGGTCCAAGACCAGCAGAGCACAGGGTTGGGGTGCAGTAGGTCAGAACTTGTTTTAAAAGAGATTTAAATACTACTGACCACAAGTAAAGAAAAAAGTTCAAATACAAACACCTAGTAAAGCTTTCATGGAAGCGTTCATATTTTAAATGAGAGATTAGCAGGACTGAGGTTAAAAAAAAAGATAGAAATTGCTTCATCGTGTGGAAACATGACTGTCAGTTAATTAAAACAACTGTACAGAACAGTGAAGTTAGATGAACAGCCATGTTCCCTGAGCTGCACCAGATCAAGCAATATGAAAGAGGCGGGCTGACTACAGAGGATCTGGAATTATAAGATGAGGAAAAGGATTTGATTTGAAAATTAGTGAGATATCATTATGAATTATTTGGCAGAACAATATCATATATTACTTATTAGCCAAATATTGAACATTGCAAACTTCCAGGAACTATTCAGCATTAGACAATGCAGGTTTGGACAGAGAAGAAAAACCCCTATTTTCTAAGTCAGTATGCTAATTGTGGGGATAAGGAAAGAATACAGATATACTACCAAATAAATGTGCTGCCAAACACTTTAGTAAGGAGTCAATGACAACATGAAGAAAAAAGTAACAGAGATATAGACAGTGGTATACCCAGAAAATTCAGAATAACAATTGTAATTTGTATAAAAGACAAAAGATATCAAATGTCCACTGAGTGGGTTGTGTCAAATGGAGATAGTGCAGTTCAGAGTAAAGAAACCCACCACACCTTCTAGTTTCCTCTCAAAATACTAATTATTAATATTATTAATTATTATCATGTATGTATGCATTTGTGTATATATGTGACTGTTGAGTGCAGTATATGTGTGTGGTATAGGTGCACACTTGTGTGCAAATGTGTGTACTCACATGCACTCAGAGGTCAGGGGATGATGTTTGGGTGTCCGGCTCTAACAGTCTGTCTTATTCGTTTGAGATAGAGTCTCTCACTGAACCTGGAGCTGAGCTGGTGGCTTGCATGCTCCAGTAATCATCCTGTCTCCATTCTTCCTTCCCAGGAGGGCTGGAGTTACAAGTCCAAGAGGCCACACTCAGCCTGTTAATGTTGGTTCTGAGGATTTGAACTCAGATATTCATGCTTGTGCAGCAAGACAAGTTACACACTAAGCCATTTCCCTACATAGTACTAATTATTTTTCATGAGTGATATTAACTTCATATTCTCCAGTAAGGGATAAAACTTGCTTCAGCTTATTCTCAATGTGTTTTGCACTGTATGCACAAAGTGATGAGATTGTAAAAGTCAGATCCGTTATGTAAAAATCAGAAAGATGACATTCAAGCTAACTTTAGTAAAGGCCAAAGGCCTTACCTCTATTTTCTCATTGAAAATTTTAAATTAGCTTCAAATAGTTTGAATTTGTTTGGACTTAAAATCTCTGCAGAAATACACTGACGTCTGTACAGGGAAATTCCCTTAAGATTTGATAGAAGGCTTTAACTTTGCAGTGCCAGAGGCATAATGATTATTACCTACAAGTAGTCTCTACAATTTGTTGAGATCAAGATAGATATATATTCTTAAATTATGAGACCTTCTCTAAAAAGCAAATATGTACTTTGAGAAAGTTCTCAGTGAAATTTAGGTAAGAGAAATATTTTACATTTTTTTAACCATTAACTTTTACCTTTAATTTAGAAATAATAAATATTTACTTCCTTAATTTTTGAAGAAATTTTCATTGTTCCTAAAATTTTAACTGCTATTTTATCTTCTAATTCCTAGCCCCTCCCAAAATTCAAAGATGTGGAGAACTTGGATGAGGAACAGCACTGAAATTCATCTCACTCTGATTATAAGACAGAATTCCAAAATATACAGGTAAGTTCAGCAATGAATCACAAATAATTCAGGCATATATTCAAAGTGATTTCCAATAATAATTCATATGTGTCATATAGTTAGTTTTCTGAAGCAAAGGAATATCCACTGCATTTCTTTCAGTGTTTGGATATTGAAGAATAAACCCCATTTTGCCCACAGAATTTTTATGATTTAATTATCAGTCAGTGGATTCAAAATTCTAGAATTTAAGGGTTTTTTTATTAAGTGCTAAAAACAGAAGTAAAAAGATAAATCTGGTCTTATAAGTTTTTAATGTATTAAAGCGTACTTTAAAAAAGATAGTTCAACAGTTAAGAACACTGACTGTTCCTGCAGAAGACCCAGGTTCAAATCCCAGCACCCACATGGCAGCTAACAACTGTCCATAACTCCAGTTCCAGGGGATCCAAGGCCTCTTCGGTCCTCCATGGCCATTGTACGACACAGATGCACTTACCTACATGCAGGCAATACATGCGTACACATAAATATAATAAATAAAATATTTTTTAAAGTATATAATTTTCTAAGGAAGCAGAAAAACAGTAGAAAAGTCAAGCTAAAGTTTTTGAAGAAACTTTTTCATAAGATGATGATATCAAGATTTACTTTGTAGATTCTTCTTCACATTACATACCATGCAGGATCAAAGAATTGACAAAACGTATTTTAGGATACTAAAAACAAGATCACCCATCCCAGGTCATCAGAATGGAGTTAGGCTTGTAAATGATCCTGTCTTCACCCTATAGTATTTGACATGTTTCACAGAAATAGAAAATGCCTATGCCCAAAATTCTTACGATATAGTAAGGAAGGTGTTCAAATGTGTATGAGAAAACAAAGCGAGATAGATTATACACAAGAAATTGTGAATTTTAGTTAAGCCTGGTGGCACAGTTCTGTAATCCTCACTTCTGGGAGGCTAAGGCATAAGGACTGAAAATGTAATGTTTGTCTGGACTTCACATTATCTTCAGTGGGAAAAAAACTGGATAACAGTGAGATTGTCTCAAAATCAAAAATTTTATAAATTAAAGAGTTAGGAATACAGCTCAGTGATAGAGCACTTGAGCCTGTTCGAAGTTTGAAGTTGAATCTCGAATAACAAGAAAGGATGGAATGATGGAAGGAAGGAGGGGAGAGATAGAGGAAGGGAGAGAGGGAGGAAAGAAGGAAGGATGAGACAAAGCACGCTAAATTTATTTGGAAATAGATGACATGCACCTAGATCTAAAAAGAGATCCATATGGTCTGGGGCATTAAGGTAAAGCTCTACTTAACACGCTATGTAGGCTAGTGTTATAAGTAAGATGAAGGAAATAAATATTCAGAAAGGGGATAAAAGATTTGACAGTCTTTATTTCTTTAGCGTCTCATGTAATTTTATTTGTTAATGAGCTACTCATTCCTTAGTCCTCAGTTAACTTTGTGCAATCTCTAAAAAATAAATTTAATATAACAGTAACACATTTTCAAAACATAGTTCCTCCTTTTTCTAAATACATAAAAATAGCTCTACTAGTTAAATAGAGATGCATTTACAAAAGAAATGTTTTAAATTTATTTCAAACACCTTCAGAAAAATCTGGCTTAGAAATTATTTGGGAACAACAAGCTAAATATGTGTATCCTAAATTTTGATGATGTCTTTACATAAATGCACAAAGATAAACCACTTTTTAAAAATCCTTCTGGGAATTGTCAAAATATTCCTGTGAATTTGGAAAGTTACAGCTGGAGTTCATAGATGCCATCACTTTGCAAGAATAAATACTCTCAAGAAGTACAGGAAGGACCGCACCATGATGTCCAACAAGCTCTGCCTTCAGGTGACCACAGTAGCCTGCATAGGTGGAAACCTGATTCTATGATTGAAGCAAGGTTTTTGCTTCAGAATATTAATTATATGACACATATGAATTATCGTTGGAAATAATTTTCAATATATGCCTATATTATTTGAGATTCATTTCTGAACTTACCTGCATATCTTGGAGTTTGGTCTTATAATCAGAGAGATGAATCACAGTGCTGTACCTCATCTCTGTTCCAGAGACAGCAGAGGGCACTGGAAAAAGAAATTCTTCTAATAGTTATAAAAAAAATAAGTGGAAAATTGTATTCTTATAACTAAAATTTTATATCTTTGCAATTCCTGTGTCAATAGGCAAGGTAGAGATGACTGAGGACAACTACTCCATGACAAATGACTTCATCCTGGTAGGATTTACAGACCACCCAGAACTGAAGATCACTCTGTTTCTGGTGTTCTCCGTCATCTATCTGATCACTATGGTGGGAAACCTTGGACTAGTGGCCTTGATCTATATTGAACGTCGTCTTCACACACCCATGTACATCTTCCTGGGCAACCTGGCTCTGATGGATTTTTGCTGTTCCTCTGCCATCACTCCCAAGATGTTAAAGAACTTCTTTTCTGTGGACAGAAGGATTTCACTGTATGAATGCATGGGACAATTCTATTTTCTCTGTCTTGCTGAAACTACAGATTGTTTTCTTCTGGCAGCAATGGCCTATGACCGCTATGTGGCCATATGCAACCCACTACAGTACCACACCATGATGTCCAAGAAGCTCTGCCTCCAAATGATCACAGGAGCCTACATAGCTGGAAACCTTCATCCTATGATTGAAGTAGGGTTTCTGCTCAGGTTAACTTTCTGTGGGTCTCATATAATCAAGCACTTTTTTTGTGATGTCCTTCCATTATATAGACTCTCCTGTGCTGACCCTTCTATCAATGAGCTGATATTATTTATTTTGGCAGGGTCAATTCAAATCTTTACAATTACCATCGTTCTTGTGTCTTACATCTGTATACTTTTCACTATATTCACAATGAAGTCTAAGGAGGGAAGAGGCAAAGCCTTATCTACTTGTGCATCCCACTTTTTGTCTGTGTCAATATTCTATGGGTCTCTTCTCTTCATGTATGCTCGACCAAGTTCTGTTAATGATGGAGATAAAGACATACCTGTTGCCATTTTTTATACTCTTGTAATTCCTTTATTAAACCCTTTTATTTATAGTCTAAGAAATAAGGAAGTAATAAATGTGATGAAAAGGATAATGAAGAAGAGACAGTTTTGCAGCATTCCAAAACAAAGGTCATCTGTAGAAAACTGATTCAAAGTAAAATTTAAAAATGCCCTTTTATAAATCCATGGGTAGTGAGAAAATAGAAAAATTCCACTTTAAGATCAAGGCATTAAAGTGTGATGATGTTTGAATAAAATTAGTCAGAATGAAATATATTTGAAATTCTCAGTAGTAAACTAAAAAATTACTGAGTTTCAGATTGTGATTAGTCACATTTTCTATAAACCCTCTAAATTCTAGGACTAAAAGTACCTCTAACAGTAGCTTCCATTTAATATCAGTGACAAATTTCTCAAGCCTATTTCAAGTTTTCATTTATTATCTTGTTGTGGTTCAGTTTGAGCTTCAACTTGACATTCATTCTTTTAATATATTATATTTCAATATGCACTCCTACAAAATATTCTCTAGTAAAAAATATTTTTATTTTTAGTGTTCATCATTTTACCATCAACTTCTTTAAACTAGAGTATCTCATAAGGCAGTTTGCCAATCTGTGATTTTAAATGATGTGGTTATAATGAAGTCATTATGGATTTTAATTTTTCCTTAGTTTACTTGCCTTCCATAAATGACACTGTAACTCCTAAATGTATTTATTAAATCAAGTTTTCTCACACCAGACATGGTGGCATGAGTCTTGAATTCCAGCCCTCAGGAGGCAGAAGAAGGCGGATCTCTGTGAGATCAAGGTCAGCCTGGTCCACATAGTGAGTTCCGAGTTCCAGGTGGGCTGAGACTATGGAGACCCTGTCATATATATATATATATATATATATATATATATATATATATATGCATATTTTCTCTCCACAATGTATTTCACAATGTATTTGTAGCAATAATAAAGGTTCAAATGTCTTTCAAGCCTGATGAATCAGAAAACTCTAAATATTCAAACAAAAATAGCTGTGCACCAGATAACTACAAATGTAAAAGGAAAAATAATTGGCCAAAATTGTAGTATTTCTTAAAACTTCTGAGCATCTCATATTTATATCTTGTCAACTCATTAGGCATTCTTTTATGCTTTCCTTGAAATAAAAAGCTTATATGCTGAAACATTGAATAGCTAGCCCCAGTTCATTCAGACAAGCAATGCAACTGGAGATTGAATACTGCCTTTTCTCCAGATGTTTGGGAATTGGGAAAAACAGAGGCTGTCTTTTTTCTGGTAGCTAGCTATGAAGTAACATCAGAAGTAACCTACACATTAAAATAGGGAAGGATTTGTATAAGTTTCAGAAAAATGGGAAATATGACCAGTCAACATTCACGGAAAATGAGTGTGTCAGTGGGAATGGAACAAAAGAATGAGTAGTGGAGCAGAGTCAGTGTGGTGGAGCTCTAAACTGCAAGAAGACTGTGGCCATCACCATCCCAAAATCAGAGGAGCTGTGGTCATCTGCAGGAGATGCTCAAAGAACGGGGCCTATGAATATTCCCCATGCAGAAAAGGGGGAGACATAAGACCATCTGAGAGTCCAGCTGCCAGTCTCCCATGCCCCAACTCCAACCGCCTGCAATCTTACTCCAGTGCCTGTGGTCTTGGTAAGCACTAAAGAAAGCAGGAAGCAGGAAGGTTGATTGACAGGGGAGCTGATTCCAGTGATGCAGCTTTCAGGAAATGTGTCTGGCAATGTACTGATTGGAGAGATTGTATCATGTCGTGTCTGAATTGATACTAGTAGTACCCACAGGACCTGACATGTATGGACAGTCACCAACTATTTATTTCAAAGTGTTCTTAGTATATCCTAGTTAATATGGAATGGACTGATATTTTTTCTTTTGAATAACTATTAATTTAATTTTTCCATTTAAATTTTAATTATACTAATATTTATAGGCATAACCAATATAAACAAAAGCTCTTTAAGATATTAAGTATATTTCAAGAGTATAAATGAATTGAGAGAACAAGTCATATCAGTAGCTCCTAATTCATTCAATAGAGTATACTCTCTATTTCACTGAATACTTTAAGTCACAATTATATCCACCAATTTCGTGTTTCCTAATAGCTCCGTCATCTCGGTCATGTATTTTACATCCACTGATTTCCTGTTTTCTAATAGTCCCATCACCTGAGTTACATATTTCTTTTTTTCCTTTTTTTTGCTTCAAAATATATTTTTATTGAGTTTTTGTGCACTTTATACAAAATATCTTAATCATCTTTATGCCCCCTTACTCCATCCTCACCTCCCAAAGCCCCCCACCACTGGATTTCATGCATTCTGTCATATATGTTAAGGCCCATGGAGTCAAGTTCTTGTACCCAGATGGATGTCCTTTAGTGAAAGTTCATCCATTGGAGTCTAGACAGCCTATCTAGAGTCTTTCCCTTAAAGATCAACTCTCCCTCACTCCACAGTGATCTGCTGCCAATAGTTGTTTAGCTAAAGTTAAGGCCCACTGCCCATTTCCCCAGTTCTATGCTGGGTTTTTATCTAATTGAGTCAGCATGGGTCTTGTGCATGCTGTCACCATTGCTGCAAGTTCATATGAGCAAGTTCCCAGAGACCTGAAAGACTCTGTTTCCTTATGTTCATGTACCAACCCTGACTCTTACAGTGTTTCCACGCCCTCTTCTGCAATGGCCCCTGAGTCATACAGCTAGTACAGTATCCTCTGATACCATGAGAGGAAGCTTCCAGGTCAGTTCCAGCTCAATTAATCAAAGTCTGATTATAAATCCTATGGAATGTCCATTGTATGTAGGCCTCCCTAAAGAAGGAACATAACATTAATAATGCTGTTCTCCTCTGCTCAGGCCATTTCCTAAATAGAGACACATTTGATACTGGTACACTCACAGCTGGGGGAATAAAGTTATATCTTGATTGTAAATACCAGATTCATTACAGGATGTCCTTCACACTGATCAGGACTATTTGATACTTATAAGTTCTGGAACTAATATTCTCTCAAGAATTTGCATATCTCTCCTTTTATGGAAAATGCTATGCAATGAAGACTAATGGAGGTAACCCAAAATCTTCTCTGATGAACTTGTCTCAAAAATACACACTTGTTACACTTTTGCTCTGTTTCACTTCACATTTGCTAACCTCCGCTGGTCACATCAGATGTATTACGTGGTGGCCTGGTCCAGGAAATCAATTTCTAAGTTATGTGAACCATAGCTTTTCATTTCCATTTCTGGCATTTTTCTATTGTAAAATTCATGAATGTCAGTGCTATTGATGCCTATAGGCACATGACATCAAATAAAACCTTTATTATTTCCATTATTTAAGAGATGGGGCTGGAGAGATGGATGGCTCAGCAGTTAAGAGCACTGAGTGATCTTGCAGAGGACCAGGTTTCAAATCCCAGCACAAACATGGCAGCTAACAACCATCCATAACTCCAGCTCCAGGGGATCCGACACCCTCTTCCGACTTCCATGACATGAGAACACTTATACAGATGCAGGCAATACACTCATACACATAAAAGTAATAAACCAAATATTTAAAAAATTTTAAATTCATTTAAGAGAAGGCCCATGTAGTTAGTATAATCCAAGTCAAAACTTTCAGCAAATCTGTTTCCTTTGCTTGACTATACTCTCTTGGCAATAGGCAATCAAAGTGCCTAGGTAACAGGCAAAGATTTAAAATTAATGGGAATCATAGCATTCATTGATAAGAATATTTCTTTGTCTGGAAACAAAGACTTCAACCACTGCACCTTAAAAATGATGTGAAACATAGTGTACATATCCCAAATAGATCACTTGAAGAGTTTCTAAACATGGTTTTAAATATATTGGAGATCAAAAGATCACAATATGAAGATCATTGACTTTCAGTATATGCTACACCTTACTAATGAGTCTATCTACTTCACATTGGAAAGATAGTTACATACACTAATTAAGTTGAATGAGTTTGGGAAATGTGAAATACAAGAGAATCAGTTCTTGTAGAGTGTCGTGACTCCTTTGTTGTAATCTAAGTTCCTTGTACGTCTGCAATATTGCACATTACTCTGCCAAGCTTAGCTATCACTGCCTCTGAAGTCTAGGAGAAAAAAAAAGAAAACCCATTATTGGTTGTATATTATTTTACACTCTGTGTAATATGAACTATTTTCTTCTTTTACTATAAAAACGGTTTATATATCCACTGTACTTCCTAGTTGCTGAGTGATGTCCTTATGGACCATTGCCGTGCTAGGAGCTCCACAATGGCCTTAGTTGTTGGCAAGTTTGGTGCTTGCTAGGAGAAGTGACTAGAATAGCATAGTAAAATTAGAACCATGTTGCTGATCACATGCATCACTCCATCTACAAGTATGTTTTTCATGTGCCTATGGTGCCAATGCTAGGAAAACAGATCAAGAAAGTTACATGATCTCAATTGGTTGAGTCATCCTTTTGATTTTGTTCTTTAGTGCCTTTTCCATAATTGATGTTTTCTTATGGGCATTTGCATGAAAAATAAAGATCTCACAATTTCGTATCTACTCCTACAGATCCACTCATAGGCTACTTACTGTTTCCCTCCAGACAGCATACAAGACATTCCCCTTTAACCCTTGTAACATAAATCTAAATATTTTACCATAGACTACTTTTATTCCTACATATTTGAAATGGATGACCAGGCTACTGTATCAAAGGAAGATTTTTCTTGGTATTCCTTCTATGGTTGGGCATATTTTACCAGCACATCACATAAATACTGATCCTCCAGGAACCAACAACTCATTTTTGAGATCAGACATGTGATCTGAGGGATAGATTCATGTTCAATGATAGTATATAATATGTGGGTCAGAGTTACATTGAGGGACAGCTTATTATGCCCTCTAGTCATACAGAGAACTAATCATGGCTGTACCATTTCCATTTTCTAATGGATTTTCTTTGGGTGGTGCAACCTTATACTTTGCTATTCTGACAACTTCCAGGTCATGAAAGGAATTTCTTGCTTCATGATCTTTGGATGTCACATTTTAGGAAGTCTGTCTCCAGTCAAATTAAGAGGACACAAAGGTCTTACCTTTTTAAATAG